TGTTAAGTCGAGGATATAAAGTACCACTTCTGGTTTGCCGAATTTTACGTAAATGTCTCTGTAACATCCCAAACTTATAAAAACCTCAAGTACGCAAATTCAGCTTCGTACGACTTTTCGTTTTTGAGCTAGACGATTCATATACTTACCCACAGACCATTTTGCGAAACTAAAAATATATTTAACGATGAAAGTAAATCCTTAAATCCCACCATGTTTCCCATCCCCTTAGACGAAGTGATGGCTCTTGGGCGGCTTCAGATGAAGACAAAGCTGAGGAATTCGCCAAACACCTCTCCTGCAAATTCACTCCTCATCCGGAATATCATCCTACTCACACTGCAATAGTAGAAGAATTCCTCTCTTCACCCATCCCACTCCCCTTACCAGAAAAAGTAGTTAATCCTTCTGAGTTCAAACATCATTTACAAAACTTATCTCCCCGTAAATCTCCTGGATAAGACCTTCTAGTCCCGCAGATCCTTCAACAACTTCCATTGAAAGCAGTCATATTCCTCACATATATATACAATTTTATCCTACGAACTACCCACTTTCCTCTCTTATGGAAACATTCTGTCATCATCTTTTTTCTGAAACCAAGTAAACCTTCTAATAACACAACTTCCTATAGACAAATAAGCCTACTCCCCATTCCTTCAAAAATCTTTGAAAAGATTCTACTGAAACGTATTCTACCCATTATAAAATTCCAAAAACTTCCTACCCACCAATTCGGATTTTGTTCCCAACATTCCACTTTCCAACAAGGCCTCCGAGTTGTTTACCATATATCCTCAGCCCTAGAAAGCATGCAATATTGCTCGGGTGCATTCCTGGACAATGCACAATGCACGGGTATAGCACCGCATTCAATCCTTCCAGTCTAAAGTTCTTCGAAAATTAGTCGATGCTCCTTTTTATGTAACCAATAAAACCCTACACAATGACCTTAATATCCCATTTGTACTTGACCTAATCCCAGACAAATTTTCCAAATTTCACCAGAATCTCACTCATCCTAATCCTGTAGCACATTCTCTATCTACCTCCAGTCATCCCTACAATTTTCTTCGGAGGTTAAAACGGCAGTGGCCCCGCGACCTTTTGTAAAAATGTATATATTGGAGTACTGGCAATGGCCAGATTCTTCACTCATCTCCTGAGCGTCTGTTGCTCTAGTGCCCTCCATCAGCCTCCCCTGGCTTACTATATTAAAATATTGTACATAGGTGTGAATGTGTTTTATTTATTTTGTTATTATTCGGCGAATCTGTTATTTTACTTACCTTGTATATTACTTTATCTTTTTATTTATATATTTTTTCCATTCTTATGTACATATTGTGTGAATAAATACTATGTCTCTTGTACCAGTGCCCTTCAGTGTGGCAGACTGTATTAATACTCAATAAAAAAAAAAAAAAAAAAAAAAAAAACGATGGAAGTAAAAATATACCTAAACATGAATATGAAAAATATTAGTTATTCCTATAAATATTAGTTATTATAGGAATTAGTTGTTACTTAAAGATGTCAAATTACGCTTTAGAGAAAAAGAAATAAGCAAAATTATTTCCGCAAACATTAGATAACAAAATTATTTGATTTTAGGTGCTAAACATCAGCACCGATCTACGAAACCCACGGTGGCTATGTCACTCTCTTCTTCCACTACTAATAGAAAATCTTCAAAACTAACCACAGGTCAGTAAAAATACCATTACACATTATGGTAGATATTATTTAGTTGGATATAAAAAAGCATGTGTTTTCCTAAATAACATAAAACCTATCTAGTTAGCGGTATTGTAAGTCCAATTCCAGAAAAAATAACCAATTGCATCCTTATTTCTTAGGAAAAATGTCAACCCTAACATTTTTCGAACTCGCTAATAAAAGTACTAACTTAAGGAAAATTTTTTTTTTTCGTTTGTTTGAAATGCCTATGAATGGTGACACCTTCAGCCTGTGTGTTTCAGTTTGTCGCTGGTGAATATTATATAATTAAATAGACAATAATTAAAAGTTAATTGATTTTAATTTAGTAAAACTATGAATGGTTTTTTTCTTTTTTTTTTATACGATAATAAATTAATGAAATAATAGTAATAATCAATGCTGGAATCAATCTAACATATCACAGGTGGGTGTGAAGTGTTAGCTGGCACCCAGTATCTCCAGAGGCATAACAATGTGGCTAAACTTTTTCAGCAGGCTCTGCCAGTGAAGCTCAACTTATTAGATGACAAAACTCCATATCATAAGTACCACCCAAATAAACCCCTCCAAAAAGGAATCCTTCTTCCCCCCCCCCCCACAGACTCCACCCAAACATTTTTCGTAAACAAACTAATCGAAGTATAATTACACTAATACTTAGGGAAAATTTTGGTTTTAGTTTGGCTTAAAGCACTATGCATTATGCCCTTTACTGTATTTGTGCTTCAGTTTGTCGCTGATGTCCGTCTTAAGATTTATTTAAGAAAAAAATGTAAAGAAATTTATAACTGTGTCAGATAAAAATTACATCTAGGAAATGTGAATTGGTAATATGAAATATACAAAATGAAGAGAAGTTTTCCATCGGTAGCACACCAATTTTATAATTAATTATAAATCAATTGATTTCGAATAAAACTATAAATATCTTATAGGTTCTTTTTATTGGATAGTAAAATAACAGTAAAAAAATGTGACTTTTCTTGTTTTATTTTGTATCTTTGGATAATAAAATATTCCGCATGAATAGCAAAAATTCCGTTAATGTTCTTTTTCCAAGTTTGAAATAAATTTAATAATTAAAAATATATTTAAACCTAAATATGAACAATAATAAATATTAATTTTTGCAAAATGTTAAGGAATTAGTAGTTTGTTAAAGATGGCAACTCGTTTTTTTGAAAAAAACAAAATATGAAAAATGATTTTCACAAACAATTTGATTTTAGGCAATACTCACAAACCAAGAAAACATTTTTTAGGAATGTTTTTTGGGAAACACAAAAAGACAACAAAAACTACTCCCATGTATAAGTCATCGACGACCATAAAATCTGAACATTCTACTGGAATCAAAAAATCGAAGAGACCGGCCAAAGGTAAGTAAAAATACTATTATACATTATGATAGATATTATTTAATACGATAATGAACACGTGTTTCTATAAATAACATTAAATCTATATTTATGATAAAAAAACCTTATTATGGTCATTCATATTTTTAGGTGATTTATTATATATAATTATTATATTAAATCCATAATTGATTATGTTCTTGAGAAGACCCGTATTTCTTCTCACAATCCTTTATTTTTATTTAATACATTATTATGTACATATAAACTTTTCTTTTTTATATAATTTTTCGGCCTGTTTAGATATTTTCAAATGTATTAATCGCACATACAATGTGCTAATTTATTCGCCAGCCCTTTATTACTTATTTTATATTTAATTCTTTTTAGTTAAGTATAGATCGAATTTGATATTTTATCAATGATTTTAGGAAAACAAAACCGTAACTTTTTTGGATTCAAGTTCAAGAACTCAAGAAGCACCAGAAAAAGCTGTAAGTGAAAATTCCCTGCAACTGAAATGCTATTAAACAATATAATTTATCCGTATTTAACTATGTATCACATACCTTGTAGATCATTTTCAGCCTTATCCAGTTCCACTTCTGCTGGAACTTTTCCATTTCTGCCTATTTTTGGCTATTTCTTTTCAGTTGTATGCATTCAGCTCTATTCGTCGATGTTACAGATTGCTCCGTTTACATAATATACGTAAATATATATATATTTCTTTATTTTAATTACTATGTTTTCACATAGAACATATAAACTGTTTTTCTGCTTGTTTTCATATATATTTACTGTAATTCTTTGAAAAAATATTTAGTTACCTTTCTTAACAATTTTGATGGCAAGCAAGAACTACCGTAGTATAGCGCTACAGTCATGTCCATAGCGATAATAAAGAGGTTGGTGAGATTGACTGAGAGGAGTATATTTTGCAAAACATTTACGAGTATGTCGTTAGCCTGTACCACATTTTTATTGATTTATGAGACAATTATATAAGCACAGATATCAATGTCAGGTTAGAAGCTAGTAATAGATGCGTTTTCTTCTAAATAAGACGCTTAAAGATAATTAATAAAGATATTCCGCTCAGTAAACTATCTTGGTAATTGGTGGGTGAAAAAAATAGTAAGTTCCTTCAACTCTTTGGCAAGCCTAATATTGTGGCCATGAAAGAAGGCAGACCAAGGATGAGAGGGATTGGAATGAAAAGTTTGCAAAGGAAGGAGAGATAGGCTATCAGGTTGTAAGTGAGGCCAAGGCCTACATAGGCTTTAGTGCCATTTAGTTAAATTTTTTTTAGTGCAGTTGTATTAGGATGGCAAAGTTTTTGTAAAGTACAGTTTTTTTTCTGTTATATACAATATCAATGTTCCCCACATTCCGTAACCACAAAACTCAAGGAAATGTCTATACGTCGACATTTATTAATATTTTTACCTCATAAGATGATTTTTTTTTTCCCTACCTGGCATTGCTGGGTTTTAGCAGCAGAGGGTTCATATGCCCACTGCTACTCAATAAACAACACTTTATTGATCATATTTCTTATTTTACATGTTTTCAAGATAGCTAAATCTTGGAGACAATAAACTGGATTAACTGCGGTGCGCGGTTGTGCACCTTACTGATGAGGCCGCATCCTTTAACCTCTAGGTGCCTCCACTTTTCCCGCGCCTCCATTGGTGATAGGACTCTTGCCGTTTTCAGGGATAAGTGTGTAGGGCCTGTCACATCCGCTAGATAATACTCCGATTATTCTTTACTTTTTCGCCATTAACTATATTTATTTTGTACCTTTCTTTTGAAATATCTTCAATTAATTGTAACGATGATAAAGAAACCCAGCCATTAACTATTTCTTTTTCAATGATATTCGCCCTTTTTAAGATGTTATTTATACTTTCACAGGGTGCGAAATATTTCGAGTTGGTGTACAAAATGATGGTAAAAACAATACGCTAAATAATTCACCTCTCGTGAGACTTGAAGATAATGAGATACCACAACTAGAATTTCATCGTAAGTAGTCATTTCTGTTATAGTAAATTCACTATGGTTTATTCTCATCTTGTCTTGTATTATATTTTGGTTTATTTCTTAGAGAACTGATTCTAACATAATTATTGTTAACGTATATGAAATTTATATTATTGTGATATGTGCATTCAGAGTCCGGTTATAAGCAAAATCATTCTAATTCAATTGTACTTTTTTTAATGAACATATATAAAACTTGAAAAAAAATTGTTTAAAACCGGTAGAAAAGTCATGAGAGTGGACTCATCGAATTTTTTATTTAAATAATTTGTGGCATTGTATAGAATTTCTTTACTCTACAACTGTTCCATTCCAAGGCGGGGGCCTATCACTGTCTTTCTTGATAATGCCTTTAATGTTTTACCGAGTTAATTTTATTAACTTAGTTGGACTTGATGTCAATGAAACATCTAAATTTAGCTATTCTGTAGCGTTTTTCTAAGATCTACAGTAACATGTCGGGCAAGACCAAGACCAAAATAAAGACTACTTTTCAGGCTTAGATACATGTTGATATCAATTTTGATAAAAACTTATAATCTGCAAAGGTTATTTTTTTATGGGACGAGGCACACACAAAAACTTACAGAATAAAGGTTAATGTTGAAGAACAAAAAGACAATGTGTTCTTGAACCAAGTTAGAACAACAACTTTTATTTACCGTAAGAAGAGTAACACAAAAAGGTATGATTTGTCCAATAAAGATGTGAAAAATATAATAGATCACAACGTGACGTCGCAACACAATCCAACACACTTGTTTTCACTAAAAGCAAAAGACAACTTTTATTATTATATATTTAATTACAATACTAAGTTGGTCGAAGTTAATAATTGTGATTTATAATTTTATTTCAATTGGGGTTTTATAATGTTCTTAATAATTAGTTAAGCATCAGTTAAAAATATGACTACTCATAATCACGAGGAAATTGAAAATTCTTGACAAATATTTATTATTATAAATATTACTCTCTATTAATTGCTATTATTCCTTATTTAAAATATTAGCAATTATGAAGGGAATAGGTTTCATTGATTAACTTTGCGCTTCTATATTTCATTTTACGAATGATATGATTTCAGATAAAAAAGGTTTAGAAAACAATACTATTTGGTCATACCTGGGTCCTGAATTTGACAGCCGCAATTTATGCCACCGCTGTCACAAACCCAGGATCAGAGACCCAAAACGTTTACAAATTTATCGCTCTATGAATCGAGCGCACAACGACCAAGTTGAGCGTAAGTAACAATTACTCTATTACAATAGATATTAAATAACATCATACGTCTCAACGAACCCTAACCTCTCTCTCAAAACAATAAACCCTCTCCAGTGTTTCAACTGCCTCCCTCAGTGCTACATCCTACGCCCTGAAGATGACCTGCAAAGTAGGTCGAAACGTCGGCAAAATTAAAATAAAATAATTACTATAGTTTAATTTAGTATTTATCTGACCGCACCCCCGACTAACTCCTTCCCATATTATATCAACGGTTAACCGTCTCTACATCAATTAACCCTCTCACTGATGATTATGAAATTTATTACAAGGTGTAACAAACCTGGAAAAATTTAATTCCACCAAATTAGGAAATTTTATTCGTGAGCAAGAATTTTTCCCAGTAATTCATATTCATTTTACTAATGTGTATTAAAAAAATGATCATTTTATCAAATTCAATATTTCAAAGGACTGTAAATATTTTTATCCTATTTAATACTTACTAATACTTAAAAATCGCTTTAGAGCATTCTCAAAGTTTGTTTGATTCCCAATTCGATTTCATAAAAAAGAGCTTTAGTTTATGGATAAAAAGTTTCACAGGCACTGTAGCAACTCATGAAATTATCAAATATGAAGGGAAAGGTGTTCTTGACCAGAGCACAGCGCGGTGTTGGTTGAATACTTTAGCAATGGAGATACGACGTTAGAAAGGAACAAGGGTTCCGGGCTACCATAAATGAACATTGATGAGGTTCTGCAGGAAGCTGTTGAGTCAAATACACCCGATGGGAGTGTGGTGTGTCGAAAAATACTGTTAGTCGCCATCTAGTCTCCATGGGGAATGTGAAAAAGAGCAGTAGACTGGTCCCTCGAGAACTTCTCCCTCAGCAATAAGCAAAATGTTAGACATTTTGAAAACCCTAATGATATTAAATTTGACTGAAATATTGTCACCTGTGATAAACTTTGCTGCGAACCACTGGAAACACTGTACGCGAAGTTGTCAGAGCGTGATTCTACTTTGATCAACCGAAAAGGAATTTAATTCCAACAAGATAATGATCGTCCTCGCACTTTCCGTCGAAACAAAGAAAACTTTAAAGAACTTCTTCGGTCCCAACACCTGCCTCATAAACCATATAGTCCAAGTCTCGCACCATCGGATTACCACTTATTTAGATCCATGGCCCATTCTCTTCAAGGAAAAGAATTGATAATTTTACGGAAGTAGAAATTGCTGTCCAAGATATCTTTGACATCCATCACAAAGAATATTATCAGCGTGGGATCGAGCAATTGGCTAGCAGATGGCTAATTACTGTTGATAATAATGGCTTATACTATGATTATTAATCGTATTTTATATTAAAGAAATAACAATAAAAATATTTGGTAGAAAAACGGTCATTTCTTTTTTAATCTCCCTATTATTTTTTGTTTTAACAAAGGCTATTTACCAGTGATATTTTTATACCGAAAAGAGTTTAGTCGTTAAATAAAAGATTGGAGATGGGTCGTTCCTCCGTATACCCTCAGACATACACAGCTAATTTTGGCATTCAGCGTACAATGTGAGCAATATGATCTTTATACCCCTTACTGCTGAAAATTTTACAATGCTTTTTATATCACATTATGTTTAAATCTAATATTTTCACATTGGGTTATCTCAGTAAATTGTTGTATTACATTATATATACCTACACTTTTAGAAATATTTGATTAATCTGGTTTGTAAAGTTCTGTTTGTTGGAAACTTAACCAAACCAACCCCGTCAAACGATTGACCCACTACGTAATCTTAACCAAATTTATATTTTTTCTTCAAGTATGTATCTATTTTTTTTTAAATTTGATTATTTAAATAGTGACAGCTTTATAGCTAAATATTTATATTGTATCTATTAATCTATGTAAATTTCTGCAGTATGGTTTGGTCTATATTTGTTGTTGGAAATTCATCCTAAGCTACCTGTCACAAGACAGACCTTCCATATGATTTTGGCCCACATTGACGTCTTCTCAAAAAGTTAAAACAGTAAAGAACTTATAAATAGTACAACAACATGTGTAAATGATCAATCAGTGTGTAAAGGCGAGTTTATAGCATTCTGTTGCACACTGGTTATAATAATATCAATATAGACTGTTAGTTCTAATATGAAATACCTATTTTCAGTTTAATTCTAAAATTTGCAATAATTTCAAAAATGTTGTACTTCAAATACTCAAAAAGGTTACATGAACTTATTCTTATTTACATATGAAATTTATTTTAATTCCTAGCCATTAAAACTGAGTTCAACTCTTTGGATATTTTTAATTCAATAACACATTACAAACATGTGCTTGATTACGTTCCTGGTTAAATACAATAAAGATTATAATTGTCGATAAAAATATTACTTATCAATCATTAAATTACAATCCAAGTCTCTAGTTTGTTTCACTACGTATTATTTATATTTTCACAGAGCCGTTTTTGTTTTTCGAGAAAAATAGAGAAAAAAATTCCTCAGAAATTAAAAGCAACGTTAGCAATAAAAACAGAGTCATGACCAGTCAAAACGGAGATGAGTGTGACGTAGAAGATTTTCCCGATAATCTATTCAACTGTAAGTAGTTAAATAAGCAACAGTTTTTCATTTTACATTGATCATAAAGTAAATAACATGAAAATATAATGTAATATAAAACAATATCGTGGTTAATTAGATTATTAATTCAGATTAAAATAAGATTTAGTCAAACAAATATTCAGAATATTGCTTAAGGTACAGTATTGAACGGTTACAATTTGTGCTAAAAGTGATTAGCTTATTTGATGAAGCTCAAGTGACCATTCCCAAAATAATATTTAAAATCAAAAAAAAAAAAAAAAAAAAAAAAAAAAAAAAAAAAAAAATTATATATACCGTTTTTATAATACAATTGTTTAATTCAATTAAAATAACTTACAAAAATGTATTTACGGCTGTAAGACAAACTTATTTTGCTTACAATTTCTATCAGAACCTGTTTTAGATAACTGGTTTGGAATTATGAAATTTTATTTTTTTTATTTATCGAGTATTACAACCATTTGTCACATGGACATTAGTTATAGTGAGGTAGGATAACATTCACACTATATGTCCAAAAAATATAAAATAAATAGAAGAAAAATAATAATCAAATTGTTTATACAATAAATGAAATAAATTAACCTAAAAATAAGAAAATTAAAACTAAGCAAACACAAGCAATACCTATATACAATCAGGCGAGAAAACTCCAGGAGAACGCTGCGCTACTCTCTCAACCGCATCACTGGTACTAAAGCCAGCGGAGATTGATCGAGAGCACTTTAGCCACATACACTCATGTCTTGAGTGGAGAATCTGGCCATTGCCAGAACTCCAATATATACAATCTACAAAAGGTCGCTAGGCCACTGGTGTTTCAACCTTCTTGGAGGATTATAGTTAACGATATGGCCAGCTATATAGACTACTAAGCAGGACATCCTATCTTTCGGTTGAAAATAAACTTTTAATCTACAAGACAATACTGAAACCTATCTGGACCTACGGACTTGAACTGTGGGGAACTGCTAAACATTCGAATATCAAACGCATCCAATCCTTCCAGTCCAAAGTACTTAGAACAATAGTCAATGTCCCATATTACGTCACAAATAAGACCCTATACCATGACCTTAACATCCCATTTGTCCTCGACATCATCCCATCCAGATTCACAAACTTTCACTAGAACCTTATCCATCATCCAAATCCTCTAGCTCAATCCTTATCCAGCTCACACCATTCCTACTATCCTCCTCGAAGGTTAAAACGGCAGTGGCCGCGAGAACTATTGTAAATATGCTTCCGGAGTCCTGGCAATGGCCAGCTTCTCCACTCAAGTTCTGAGCATCTGTGGCTCTAGTGACCTCCTTCAGCCTCCACTGGCTTTTAATACTAGTGATGCGGCTGGAAATGTGGCACTGGGATCTCTGGAGTCCTGCTTTGCCTTCCACATGTGGGAAGAAAAGCCTGGCTCGGAGATTCCTGGGCGAATGTATATATTGTATATAGGTATGAATGTATTTAGAAGTTTTTATTTTATTTTGTTTGTTTATTTATTTTTCCTATTGATTTACATTTTTTTATAAGTATTATTTATTTACTCTTTATATTTATGGTTACTTATTTATTACTTGTATATACTGTATGGATGAGAACTTCTAGCCTTAATACTTATAGCCCTCCAACAGTAGCTGATTGTATTATTATTCAATATAATATAATTAAAAAAAAATGGACGCAAACAGTATTCTAGGAATGAGGATATATGGCCGGCAACTCGGAGTCCCTGTTAGATAGTGGAATGTTGGGAACAAAATCCAAATTGACGGGTAGGAATTTTATGGGATTCAATTATGGGTAGGATTCTTTTCAGTAGGATCTTTTCAAAAATTTTTGATAGGATTGGGAGTAGGCTAATCGGTCTATAGGATGATGTATTGTTGGCAGGCTTGCCTGGTTTCAGAAAAAAGACGATGGTGGAATGTTTCCATAGGAAAGGAAAATGGGTAGTTCTTAAGATGCAATTATAAATAAATGTAAGGAATATGATAGCTTTGGGTGAAAGTTGTCATGAACAGAGAGAGAAGTAAGGTAAGTATCAAGGGATTGGGATCTGAAGGATGATAATCTATGCTTTACTATTTTAGAATAATAATTGTTGGAGCGGCGATAGATAGGGTGTTTGTTACGTTGTCATAATGATCTGGCATGGAGTTTGGTGTAGATTAGGTCTATGAGGTGTTGGGGTAAAATATTTTTCTTAGGGGCTCTTAAGGAATTATTTGGAGAGGAAGCTGTCCATACTGCTTGCTGAATGGTGTTGGTAAAGGAATGTACAGCATTTTCAAGGTCTTCTTGGGTTCTCAAGGGTAATCTGAGGTTAATTTTATCGGAAATGATTTGATGAAAGGGTTTCCACTTAACTGAGAAGCTGATGAAGGACGGTGGAGAGGGTTTAGGAATAGGAGCTGGAGATAATTGGAGTACTAATGGACTATGATCTGAGGAAAGTTCGTGAATTCGGGTAAGGGAATGATTGAGGGGACCTAAACCACTTTGAATAAAAAAATCGAGAAAATCAGGATTGCAGTTGGCCAGTAGATAGGTGAGTTAGGTGGAAGAAGTTTGAAACTTTGGAAATTAAGTGTAGACAACAAGCAGAGTATATATATATATATATATATATATATATATATAAAATTCGCCGCTCCAACAATTATTATTCTATATATATATATATATGTATGTTTGTATATATATTTGCTTTATTGTTTGAAATAAATTCAATTATGAAAAATCCGGTGCGCGCATCACATCGCATTTATGAAAACAGCATATGTATATGTTCATAATATTGCCTGAGTCCGTATCATAAAAAGGTAGTTCATGTTACTTATAGAACCCCTGTTTTAATCTTTCGGGTGAGCTTTAGAGCGCTCCTGTTGCTTTGGTTCTTCCAATACAACTATTATCCGTTACGATTTCTTATTTTTCCTCCAGTTAATTATCAAATTCTTTAATATTTTATATTTAAATATCTTTTTTATAAAAGATTAATGTAAAATGATTAATTATTTCAAATAAAAAAATTAAAAATACTTAATAAAGAGGAACCCAAAATTGAAAATAAGCCATTCAGACTCTGTTAGGGAACATCAATGACAATAAAACCTACATTATATTACAAAATACTTAATAATGAACTAATAAACTGAGTTTATACAAAATCCTTAGAGCCGTTTTTGAAAAATCGTAAAAATTTGTTAAGTCGAGGATATTAAGTACCACTTCTGGTTTGCCGATTTTTACGTAAATGTCTCTGTAACATCCCAAACTTAAAAAAAACCTCAAGTACGCAAATTCAGCTTCGTACGACTTTTCGTTTTTGAGCTAGACGATTCACATACTTACCCACAGACCATTTTGTGAGACTAAAAATATATTTAACGTTGAAAGTAAATCCTAAAATCCCACCATGTTTCCCATCCCCTTAGACGAAGTGATGGCTCTTGGGCGGCTTCAGATGAAGACAAAGCTGAGGAATTCGCCAAACACCTCTCCTGCAAATTCACTCCTCATCCGGAATCCCATCCTACCCACACTGCAATAGTAGAAGAATTCCTCACTTCACCCATCCCACTCTCCTTACCAGAAAAAGTAGTCAATCCTTCTGAGTTCAAACATCATTTACAAAACTTATCTCCCCGTAAATCTCCTGGATAAGACCTTCTAGTCCCGCAGATCCTTCAGCAACTTCCATTGAAAGCAGTCATATCCCTCACTTATATATACAATTTTATCCTATGAACTACCCACTTTCCTCTCTTATGGAAACATTCTGTCATCATCTTTTTTCTGAAACCAAGTAAACCTTCTAATAACACAACTTCCTATAGACAAATAAGCCTACTTCCCATCCTTTCAAAAATCTTTGAAAAGATTCTACTGAAACGTATCCTACCCATTATAAAATTCTAAAAACTTCCTACCCACCAATTCGGATTTTGTTCCCAACATTCCACTTTCCAACAAGGCCTCCGAGTTGTTTACCATATATCCTCAGCCCTAGAAAGCATACAATATTGCTCGGGTGCATTCCTGGACAATGCACAATGCGCGGGTATAGCACCGGATTCAATCCTTCCAATCTTAAAGTTCTTCGAAAATTAGTCGATGCTCCTTTCTATGTAACCAATAAAACCCTACACAATGACCTTAATATCCCATTTGTACTTGACCTAATCCCAGACAAATTTTCCAAATTTCACCAGAATCTCACTCATCCTAATCCTGTAGCACATTCTCTATCTACCTCCAGTCATCCCTACAATTTTCTTCGGAGGTTAAAACGGCAGTGGCCCCGCGACCTTTTGTAAAAATGTATATATTGGAATACTGGCACTGGCCAGATTCTTCACTCATCTCCTGAGCGTCTGTTGCTCTAGTGCCCCCCATCAGCCTCCCCTGGCTTACTATATTAAAATATTGTACATAGGTGTGAATGTGTTTTATTTATTTCGTTATTATTCGGCTAATCTGTTATTTTACTTACCTTGTATAATACTTTATCTTTTTATTTATATAATTTTTTCCATTCTTATGTACATATTGTGTCAATAAATACTATAGCTCTTGTACCAGTGCCCTTCAGTGTGGCAGACTGTATTAATACTCAATAAAACAAAAAAACAAAACAAAAAACGATGGAAGTAAAAATATACCTAAACATGAATATGAAAAATATTAGTTATTCCTATAAATATTAGTTATTATAGGAATTAGTTGTTACTTAAAGATGTCAAATTACGCCTCAGAGAAAAAGAAATAAGCAAAATTATTTCCGCAAACATTAGATAATAAAATTATTTGATTTTAGGTGCTAAACATGAGCACCGACCTACGAAACCCACGGTGGCTATGTCACTCTCTTCTTCCACTAATAATAGAAAATCGTCAAAACTAACCACAGGTCAGTAACAATACCATTACACATTATGGTAGATATTAATTAGTTGGATATAAAAAAAAAAAAGTGTTTTCCTAAATAACATTAAACCTATCTAGTTAGCGGTATTGTAAGTCCAATTCCAGAAAAAATAACCAATTACATCCTTATTTCTTAGGAAAAATGTCAACCCCAACATTTTTCGAACTCGCTCATAAAAGTACTAACTTAAGGAAAATTTTTTTTTTCGTTTGTTTGAAATGCCTATGAATGGCGACACCTTCAGCCTGTGTGTTTCAATTTGTCGCTGGTGAATATTATATAATTAAATAGACAATAATTAAAAGTCAATTGATTTTAATTTAGTAAAACTATGAATGTTTTTTTTCTTTTTTTTTATACGATAATAAATTAATGAAATAATAGTAATAATCAATGTTGGAATCGATCGATCGATCCAACATATCACTGGTGGGTGTGAAGTGTTAGCTGGCACCCAGTATCTCCAGAGGCATAACAATGTGGCTAAACTTTTTCACCAGGCTCTGCCAGTGAAGCTCAACTTATTAGATGACAAAACTCCATATAATAAGTACCACCCAAATAAACCCCTCCAAAAAGGAATCCTTCTTCCCCCCCCCCCACAGACTCCACCCAAACATTTTTCGTAAACAAACTAATCGAAGTATAATTACACTAATACTTAGGGAAAATTTTGGTTTTAGTTTGGCTTAAAGCACTATGCATTATGCCCTTTACTGTATTTGTGCTTCAGTTTGTCGCTGATGTCCGTCTTAAGATTTATTTAAGAAAAAAATGTAAAGAAATTTATAACTGTGTCAGATAAAAATTACATCTAGGAAATGTGAATTGGTAATATGAAATATACAAAATGAAGAGAAGTTTTCCATCGGTAGCACACCAATTTTATAATTAATTATAAATCAATTGATTTCGAATAAAACTATAAATATCTTATAGGTTCTTTTTATTGGATAGTAAAATAACAGTAAAAAAATGTGACTTTTCTTGTTTTATTTTGTATCTTTGGATAATAAAATATTCCGCATGAATAGCAAAAATTCCGTTAATGTTCTTTTTCCAAGTTTGAAATAAATTTAATAATTAAAAATATATTTAAACCTAAATATGAACAATAATAAATATTAATTTTTGCAAAATGTTAAGGAATTAGTAGTTTGTTAAAGATGGCAACTCGTTTTTTTGAAAAAAACAAAATATGAAAAATGATTTTCACAAACAATTTGATTTTAGGCAATACGCACAAACCAAGAAAACATTTTTTAGGAATGTTTTTTGGGAAACACAAAAAGACAACAAAAACTACTCCCATGTATAAGTCATCGACGACCATAAAATCTGAACATTCTACTGGAATCAAAAAATCGAAGAGACCGGCCAAAGGTAAGTAAAAATACTATTATACATTATGATAGATATTATTTAATACGATAATGAACACGTGTTTCTATAAATAACATTAAATCTATATTTATGATAAAAAACCTTATTATGGTCATTCATATTTTTAGGTGATTTATTATATATAATTATTATATTAAATCCATAATTGATTATGTTCTTGAGAAGACCCGTATTTCTTCTCACAATCCTTTATTTTTATTTAATACATTATTATGTACATATAAACTTTTCTTTTTTATATAATTTTTCGGCCTGTTTAGATATTTTCAAATGTATTAATCGCACATACAATGTGCTAATTTATTCGCCAGCCCTTTATTACTTATTTTATATTTAATTCTTTTTAGTTAAGTATAGATCGAATTTGATATTTTATCAATGATTTTAGGAAAACAAAACCGTAACTTTTTTGGATTCAAGTTCAAGAACTCAAGAAGCACCAGAAAAAGCTGTAAGTGAAAATTCCCTGCAACTGAAATGCTATTAAACAATATAATTTATCCGTATTTAACTATGTATCACATACCTTGTAGATCATTTTCAGCCTTATCCAGTTCCACTTCTGCTGGAACTTTTCCATTTCTGCCTATTTTTGGCTATTTCTTTTCAGTTGTATGCATTCAGCTCTATTCGTCCATGTTACAGGTTGCTCCGTTTATATAATATACGTAAATATATATATATATTTCTTTATTTTATTTACTATGTTTTCACATAGAACATATAAACTGTTTTTCTGCTTGTTTTCATATATATTTACTGTAATTCTTTGAAAAAATATTTAGTTACCTTTCTTAACAATTTTGATGGCAAGCAAGAACTACCGTAGTATAGCGCTACAGTCATGTCCATAGCGATAATAAAGAGGTTGGTGAGATTGACTGAGAGGAGTATATTTTGCAAAACATTTACGAGTATGTCGTTAGCCTGTACCACATTTTTATTGATTTATGAGACAATTATATAAGCACAGATATCAATGTCAGGTTAGAAGCTAGTAATAGATGCGTTTTCTTCTAAATAAGACGCTTAAAGATAATTAATAAAGATATTCCGCTCAGTAAACTATCTTGGTAATTGGTGGGTGAAAAAAATAGTAAGTTCCTTCAACTCTTTGGCAAGCCTAATATTGTGGCCATGAAAGAAGGCAGACCAAGGATGAGAGGGATTGGAATGAAAAGTTTGCAAAGGAAGGAGAGATAGGCTATCAGGTTGTAAGTGAGGCCAAGGCCTACATAGGCTTTAGTGCCATTTAGTTAAATTTTTTTTAGTGCAGTTGTATTAGGATGGCAAAGTTTTTGTAAAGTACAGTTTTTTTTCTGTTATATACAATATCAATGTTCCCCACATTCCGTAACCACAAAACTCAAGGAAATGTCTATACGTCGACATTTATTAATATTTTTACCTCATAAGATGATTTTTTTTTTCCCTACCTGGCATTGCTGGGTTTTAGCAGCAGAGGGTTCATATGCCCACTGCTACTCAATAAACAACACTTTATTGATCATATTTCTTATTTTACATGTTTTCAAGATAGCTAAATCTTGGAGACAATAAACTGGATTAACTGCGGTGCGCGGTTGTGCACCTTACTGATGAGGCCGCATCCTTTAACCTCTAGGTGCCTCCACTTTTCCCGCGCCTCCATTGGTGATAGGACTCTTGCCGTTTTCAGGGATAAGTGTGTAGGGCCTGTCACATCCGCTAGATAATACTCCGATTATTCTTTACTTTTTCGCCATTAACTATATTTATTTTGTACCTTTCTTTTGAAATATCTTCAATTAATTGTAACGATGATAAAGAAACCCAGCCATTAACTATTTCTTTTTCAATGATATTCGCCCTTTTTAAGATGTTATTTATACTTTCACAGGGTGCGAAATATTTCGAGTTGGTGTACAAAATGATGGTAAAAACAATACGCTAAATAATTCACCTCTCGTGAGACTTGAAGATAATGAGATACCACAACTAGAATTTCATCGTAAGTAGTCATTTCTGTTATAGTAAATTCACTATGGTTTATTCTCATCTTGTCTTGTATTATATTTTGGTTTATTTCTTAGAGAACTGATTCTAACATAATTATTGTTAACGTATATGAAATTTATATTATTGTGATATGTGCATTCAGAGTCCGGTTATAAGCAAAATCATTCTAATTCAATTGTACTTTTTTTAATGAACATATATAAAACTTGAAAAAAAATTGTTTAAAACCGGTAGAAAAGTCATGAGAGTGGACTCATCGAATTTTTTATTTAAATAATTTGTGGCATTGTATAGAATTTCTTTACTCTACAACTGTTCCATTCCAAGGCGGGGGCCTATCACTGTCTTTCTTGATAATGCCTTTAATGTTTTACCGAGTTAATTTTATTAACTTAGTTGGACTTGATGTCAATGAAACATCTAAATTTAGCTATTCTGTAGCGTTTTTCTAAGATCTACAGTAACATGTCGGGCAAGACCAAGACCAAAATAAAGACTACTTTTCAGGCTTAGATACATGTTGATATCAATTTTGATAAAAACTTATAATCTGCAAAGGTTATTTTTTTATGGGACGAGGCACACACAAAAACTTACAGAATAAAGGTTAATGTTGAAGAACAAAAAGACAATGTGTTCTTGAACCAAGTTAGAACAACAACTTTTATTTACCGTAAGAAGAGTAACACAAAAAGGTATGATTTGTCCAATAAAGATGTGAAAAATATAATAGATCACAACGTGACGTCGCAACACAATCCAACACACTTGTTTTCACTAAAAGCAAAAGACAACTTTTATTATTATATATTTAATTACAATACTAAGTTGGTCGAAGTTAATAATTGTGATTTATAATTTTATTTCAATTGGGGTTTTATAATGTTCTTAATAATTAGTTAAGCATCAGTTAAAAATATGACTACTCATAATCACGAGGAAATTGAAAATTCTTGACAAATATTTATTATTATAAATATTACTCTCTATTAATTGCTATTATTCCTTATTTAAAATATTAGCAATTATGAAGGGAATAGGTTTCATTGATTAACTTTGCGCTTCTATATTTCATTTTACGAATGATATGATTTCAGATAAAAAAGGTTTAGAAAACAATACTATTTGGTCATACCTGGGTCCTGAATTTGACAGCCGCAATTTATGCCACCGCTGTCACAAACCCAGGATCAGAGACCCAAAACGTTTACAAATTTATCGCTCTATGAATCGAGCGCACAACGACCAAGTTGAGCGTAAGTAACAATTACTCTATTACAATAGATATTAAATAACATCATACGTCTCAACGAACCCTAACCTCTCTCTCAAAACAATAAACCCTCTCCAGTGTTTCAACTGCCTCCCTCAGTGCTACATCCTACGCCCTGAAGATGACCTGCAAAGTAGGTCGAAACGTCGGCAAAATTAAAATAAAATAATTACTATAGTTTAATTTAGTATTTATCTGACCGCACCCCCGACTAACTCCTTCCCATATTATATCAACGGTTAACCGTCTCTACATCAATTAACCCTCTCACTGATGATTATGAAATTTATTACAAGGTGTAACAAACCTGGAAAAATTTAATTCCACCAAATTAGGAAATTTTATTCGTGAGCAAGAATTTTTCCCAGTAATTCATATTCATTTTACTAATGTGTATTAAAAAAATGATCATTTTATCAAATTCAATATTTCAAAGGACTGTAAATATTTTTATCCTATTTAATACTTACTAATACTTAAAAATCGCTTTAGAGCATTCTCAAAGTTTGTTTGATTCCCAATTCGATTTCATAAAAAAGAGCTTTAGTTTATGGATAAAAAGTTTCACAGGCACTGTAGCAACTCATGAAATTATCAAATATGAAGGGAAAGGTGTTCTTGACCAGAGCACAGCGCGGTGTTGGTTGAATACTTTAGCAATGGAGATACGACGTTAGAAAGGAACAAGGGTTCCGGGCTACCATAAATGAACATTGATGAGGTTCTGCAGGAAGCTGTTGAGTCAAATACACCCGATGGGAGTGTGGTGTGTCGAAAAATACTGTTAGTCGCCATCTAGTCTCCATGGGGAATGTGAAAAAGAGCAGTAGACTGGTCCCTCGAGAACTTCTCCCTCAGCAATAAGCAAAATGTTAGACATTTTGAAAACCCTAATGATATTAAATTTGACTGAAATATTGTCACCTGTGATAAACTTTGCTGCGAACCACTGGAAACACTGTACGCGAAGTTGTCAGAGCGTGATTCTACTTTGATCAACCGAAAAGGAATTTAATTCCAACAAGATAATGATCGTCCTCGCACTTTCCGTCGAAACAAAGAAAACTTTAAAGAACTTCTTCGGTCCCAACACCTGCCTCATAAACCATATAGTCCAAGTCTCGCACCATCGGATTACCACTTATTTAGATCCATGGCCCATTCTCTTCAAGGAAAAGAATTGATAATTTTACGGAAGTAGAAATTGCTGTCCAAGATATCTTTGACATCCATCACAAAGAATATTATCAGCGTGGGATCGAGCAATTGGCTAGCAGATGGCTAATTACTGTTGATAATAATGGCTTATACTATGATTATTAATCGTATTTTATATTAAAGAAATAACAATAAAAATATTTGGTAGAAAAACGGTCATTTCTTTTTTAATCTCCCTATTATTTTTTGTTTTAACAAAGGCTATTTACCAGTGATATTTTTATACCGAAAAGAGTTTAGTCGTTAAATAAAAGATTGGAGATGGGTCGTTCCTCCGTATACCCTCAGACATACACAGCTAATTTTGGCATTCAGCGTACAATGTGAGCAATATGATCTTTATACCCCTTACTGCTGAAAATTTTACAATGCTTTTTATATCACATTATGTTTAAATCTAATATTTTCACATTGGGTTATCTCAGTAAATTGTTGTATTACATTATATATACCTACACTTTTAGAAATATTTGATTAATCTGGTTTGTAAAGTTCTGTTTGTTGGAAACTTAACCAAACCAACCCCGTCAAACGATTGACCCACTACGTAATCTTAACCAAATTTATATTTTTTCTTCAAGTATGTATCTATTTTTTTTTAAATTTGATTATTTAAATAGTGACAGCTTTATAGCTAAATATTTATATTGTATCTATTAATCTATGTAAATTTCTGCAGTATGGTTTGGTCTATATTTGTTGTTGGAAATTCATCCTAAGCTACCTGTCACAAGACAGACCTTCCATATGATTTTGGCCCACATTGACGTCTTCTCAAAAAGTTAAAACAGTAAAGAACTTATAAATAGTACAACAACATGTGTAAATGATCAATCAGTGTGTAAAGGCGAGTTTATAGCATTCTGTTGCACACTGGTTATAATAATATCAATATAGACTGTTAGTTCTAATATGAAATACCTATTTTCAGTTTAATTCTAAAATTTGCAATAATTTCAAAAATGTTGTACTTCAAATACTCAAAAAGGTTACATGAACTTATTCTTATTTACATATGAAATTTATTTTAATTCCTAGCCATTAAAACTGAGTTCAACTCTTTGGATATTTTTAATTCAATAACACATTACAAACATGTGCTTGATTACGTTCCTGGTTAAATACAATAAAGATTATAATTGTCGATAAAAATATTACTTATCAATCATTAAATTACAATCCAAGTCTCTAGTTTGTTTCACTACGTATTATTTATATTTTCACAGAGCCGTTTTTGTTTTTCGAGAAAAATAGAGAAAAAAATTCCTCAGAAATTAAAAGCAACGTTAGCAATAAAAACAGAGTCATGACCAGTCAAAACGGAGATGAGTGTGACGTAGAAGATTTTCCCGATAATCTATTCAACTGTAAGTAGTTAAATAAGCAACAGTTTTTCATTTTACATTGATCATAAAGTAAATAACATGAAAATATAATGTAATATAAAACAATATCGTGGTTAATTAGATTATTAATTCAGATTAAAATAAGATTTAGTCAAACAAATATTCAGAATATTGCTTAAGGTACAGTATTGAACGGTTACAATTTGTGCTAAAAGTGATTAGCTTATTTGATGAAGCTCAAGTGACCATTCCCAAAATAATATTTAAAATCAAAAAAAAAAAAAAAAAAATTATATATACCGTTTTTATAATACAATTGTTTAATTCAATTAAAATAACTTACAAAAATGTATTTACGGCTGTAAGACAAACTTATTTTGCTTACAATTTCTATCAGAACCTGTTTTAGATAACTGGTTTGGAATTATGAAATTTTATTTTTTTTATTTATTGAGTATTACAACCATTTGTCACATGGATATTACTTATAGTGAGGTAGGATAACATTCACACTATATATACAAAAAATATAAAATAAATAGAAGAAAAATAATAATCAAATTGTTTATACAATAAATGAAATAAACTAACCTAAAAATAAGAAAATTAAAACTAAGCAAACACAAGCAATACCTATATACAATCAGGCGAGAAAACTCCAGGAGAACGCTGCGCTACTCTCTCAACCGCATCACTGGTACTAAAGCCAGCGGAGATTGATCGAGAGCACTTTAGCCACATACACTCATGTCTTGAGTGGAGAATCTGGCCATTGCCAGAACTCCAATATATACAATCTACAAAAGGTCGCTAGGCCACTGGTGTTTCAACCTTCTTGGAGGATTATAGTTAACGATATGGCCAGCTATATAGACTACTAAGCAGGACATCCTATCTTTCGGTTGAAAATAAACTTTTAATCTACAAGACAATACTGAAACCTATCTGGACCTACGGACTTGAACTGTGGGGAACTGCTAAACATTCGAATATCAAACGCATCCAATCCTTCCAGTCCAAAGTACTTAGAACAATAGTCAATGTCCCATATTACGTCACAAATAAGACCCTATACCATGACCTTAACATCCCATTTGTCCTCGACATCATCCCATCCAGATTCACAAACTTTCACTAGAACCTTATCCATCATCCAAATCCTCTAGCTCAATCCTTATCCAGCTCACACCATTCCTACTATCCTCCTCGAAGGTTAAAACGGCAGTGGCCGCGAGAACTATTGTAAATATGCTTCCGGAGTCCTGGCAATGGCCAGCTTCTCCACTCAAGTTCTGAGCATCTGTGGCTCTAGTGACCTCCTTCAGCCTCCACTGGCTTTTAATACTAGTGATGCGGCTGGAAATGTGGCACTGGGATCTCTGGAGTCCTGCTTTGCCTTCCACATGTGGGAAGAAAAGCCTGGCTCGGAGATTCCTGGGCGAATGTATATATTGTATATAGGTATGAATGTATTTAGAAGTTTTTATTTTATTTTGTTTGTTTATTTATTTTTCCTATTGATTTACATTTTTTTATAAGTATTATTTATTTACTCTTTATATTTATGGTTACTTATTTATTACTTGTATATACTGTATGGATGAGAACTTCTAGCCTTAATACTTATAGCCCTCCAACAGTAGCTGATTGTATTATTATTCAATATAATATAATTAAAAAAAAATGGACGCAAACAGTATTCTAGGAATGAGGATATATGGCCGGCAACTCGGAGTCCCTGTTAGATAGTGGAATGTTGGGAACAAAATCCAAATTGACGGGTAGGAATTTTATGGGATTCAATTATGGGTAGGATTCTTTTCAGTAGGATCTTTTCAAAAATTTTTGATAGGATTGGGAGTAGGCTAATCGGTCTATAGGATGATGTATTGTTGGCAGGCTTGCCTGGTTTCAGAAAAAAGACGATGGTGGAATGTTTCCATAGGAAAGGAAAATGGGTAGTTCTTAAGATGCAATTATAAATAAATGTAAGGAATATGATAGCTTTGGGTGAAAGTTGTCATGAACAGAGAGAGAAGTAAGGTAAGTATCAAGGGATTGGGATCTGAAGGATGATAATCTATGCTTTACTATTTTAGAATAATAATTGTTGGAGCGGCGATAGATAGGGTGTTTGTTACGTTGTCATAATGATCTGGCATGGAGTTTGGTGTAGATTAGGTCTATGAGGTGTTGGGGTAAAATATTTTTCTTAGGGGCTCTTAAGGAATTATTTGGAGAGGAAGCTGTCCATACTGCTTGCTGAATGGTGTTGGTAAAGGAATGTACAGCATTTTCAAGGTCTTCTTGGGTTCTCAAGGGTAATCTGAGGTTAATTTTATCGGAAATGATTTGATGAAAGGGTTTCCACTTAACTGAGAAGCTGATGAAGGACGGTGGAGAGGGTTTAGGAATAGGAGCTGGAGATAATTGGAGTACTAATGGACTATGATCTGAGGAAAGTTCGTGAATTCGGGTAAGGGAATGATTGAGGGGACCTAAACCACTTTGAATAAAAAAATCGAGAAAATCAGGATTGCAGTTGGCCAGTAGATAGGTGAGTTAGGTGGAAGAAGTTTGAAACTTTGGAAATTAAGTGTAGACAACAAGCAGAGTATATATATATATATATATATATATATATATATAAAATTCGCCGCTCCAACAATTATTATTCTATATATATATATATATGTATGTTTGTATATATATTTGCTTTATTGTTTGAAATAAATTCAATTATGAAAAATCCGGTGCGCGCATCACATCGCATTTATGAAAACAGCATATGTATATGTTCATAATATTGCCTGAGTCCGTATCATAAAAAGGTAGTTCATGTTACTTATAGAACCCCTGTTTTAATCTTTCGGGTGAGCTTTAGAGCGCTCCTGTTGCTTTGGTTCTTCCAATACAACTATTATCCGTTACGATTTCTTATTTTTCCTCCAGTTAATTATCAAATTCTTTAATATTTTATATTTAAATATCTTTTTTATAAAAGATTAATGTAAAATGATTAATTATTTCAAATAAAAAAATTAAAAATACTTAATAAAGAGGAACCCAAAATTGAAAATAAGCCATTCAGACTCTGTTAGGGAACATCAATGACAATAAAACCTACATTATATTACAAAATACTTAATAATGAACTAATAAACTGAGTTTATACAAAATCCTTAGAGCCGTTTTTGAAAAATCGTAAAAATTTGTTAAGTCGAGGATATTAAGTACCACTTCTGGTTTGCCGATTTTTACGTAAATGTCTCTGTAACATCCCAAACTTAAAAAAAACCTCAAGTACGCAAATTCAGCTTCGTACGACTTTTCGTTTTTGAGCTAGACGATTCACATACTTACCCACAGACCATTTTGTGAGACTAAAAATATATTTAACGTTGAAAGTAAATCCTAAAATCCCACCATGTTTCCCATCCCCTTAGACGAAGTGATGGCTCTTGGGCGGCTTCAGATGAAGACAAAGCTGAGGAATTCGCCAAACACCTCTCCTGCAAATTCACTCCTCATCCGGAATCCCATCCTACCCACACTGCAATAGTAGAAGAATTCCTCACTTCACCCATCCCACTCTCCTTACCAGAAAAAGTAGTCAATCCTTCTGAGTTCAAACATCATTTACAAAACTTATCTCCCCGTAAATCTCCTGGATAAGACCTTCTAGTCCCGCAGATCCTTCAGCAACTTCCATTGAAAGCAGTCATATCCCTCACTTATATATACAATTTTATCCTATGAACTACCCACTTTCCTCTCTTATGGAAACATTCTGTCATCATCTTTTTTCTGAAACCAAGTAAACCTTCTAATAACACAACTTCCTATAGACAAATAAGCCTACTTCCCATCCTTTCAAAAATCTTTGAAAAGATTCTACTGAAACGTATCCTACCCATTATAAAATTCTAAAAACTTCCTACCCACCAATTCGGATTTTGTTCCCAACATTCCACTTTCCAACAAGGCCTCCGAGTTGTTTACCATATATCCTCAGCCCTAGAAAGCATACAATATTGCTCGGGTGCATTCCTGGACAATGCACAATGCGCGGGTATAGCACCGGATTCAATCCTTCCAATCTTAAAGTTCTTCGAAAATTAGTCGATGCTCCTTTCTATGTAACCAATAAAACCCTACACAATGACCTTAATATCCCATTTGTACTTGACCTAATCCCAGACAAATTTTCCAAATTTCACCAGAATCTCACTCATCCTAATCCTGTAGCACATTCTCTATCTACCTCCAGTCATCCCTACAATTTTCTTCGGAGGTTAAAACGGCAGTGGCCCCGCGACCTTTTGTAAAAATGTATATATTGGAATACTGGCACTGGCCAGATTCTTCACTCATCTCCTGAGCGTCTGTTGCTCTAGTGCCCCCCATCAGCCTCCCCTGGCTTACTATATTAAAATATTGTACATAGGTGTGAATGTGTTTTATTTATTTCGTTATTATTCGGCTAATCTGTTATTTTACTTACCTTGTATAATACTTTATCTTTTTATTTATATAATTTTTTCCATTCTTATGTACATATTGTGTCAATAAATACTATAGCTCTTGTACCAGTGCCCTTCAGTGTGGCAGACTGTATTAATACTCAATAAAACAAAAAAACAAAACAAAAAACGATGGAAGTAAAAATATACCTAAACATGAATATGAAAAATATTAGTTATTCCTATAAATATTAGTTATTATAGGAATTAGTTGTTACTTAAAGATGTCAAATTACGCCTCAGAGAAAAAGAAATAAGCAAAATTATTTCCGCAAACATTAGATAATAAAATTATTTGATTTTAGGTGCTAAACATGAGCACCGACCTACGAAACCCACGGTGGCTATGTCACTCTCTTCTTCCACTAATAATAGAAAATCGTCAAAACTAACCACAGGTCAGTAACAATACCATTACACATTATGGTAGATATTAATTAGTTGGATATAAAAAAAAAAAGTGTTTTCCTAAATAACATTAAACCTATCTAGTTAGCGGTATTGTAAGTCCAATTCCAGAAAAAATAACCAATTACATCCTTATTTCTTAGGAAAAATGTCAACCCCAACATTTTTCGAACTCGCTCATAAAAGTACTAACTTAAGGAAAATTTTTTTTTTCGTTTGTTTGAAATGCCTATGAATGGCGACACCTTCAGCCTGTGTGTTTCAATTTGTCGCTGGTGAATATTATATAATTAAATAGACAATAATTAAAAGTCAATTGATTTTAATTTAGTAAAACTATGAATGTTTTTTTTCTTTTTTTTTATACGATAATAAATTAATGAAATAATAGTAATAATCAATGTTGGAATCGATCGATCGATCCAACATATCACTGGTGGGTGTGAAGTGTTAGCTGGCACCCAGTATCTCCAGAGGCATAACAATGTGGCTAAACTTTTTCACCAGGCTCTGCCAGTGAAGCTCAACTTATTAGATGACAAAACTCCATATAATAAGTACCACCCAAATAAACCCCTCCAAAAAGGAATCCTTCTTCCCCCCCCCCCACAGACTCCACCCAAACATTTTTCGTAAACAAACTAATCGAAGTATAATTACACTAATACTTAGGGAAAATTTTGGTTTTAGTTTGGCTTAAAGCACTATGCATTATGCCCTTTACTGTATTTGTGCTTCAGTTTGTCGCTGATGTCCGTCTTAAGATTTATTTAAGAAAAAAATGTAAAGAAATTTATAACTGTGTCAGATAAAAATTACATCTAGGAAATGTGAATTGGTAATATGAAATATACAAAATGAAGAGAAGTTTTCCATCGGTAGCACACCAATTTTATAATTAATTATAAATCAATTGATTTCGAATAAAACTATAAATATCTTATAGGTTCTTTTTATTGGATAGTAAAATAACAGTAAAAAAATGTGACTTTTCTTGTTTTATTTTGTATCTTTGGATAATAAAATATTCCGCATGAATAGCAAAAATTCCGTTAATGTTCTTTTTCCAAGTTTGAAATAAATTTAATAATTAAAAATATATTTAAACCTAAATATGAACAATAATAAATATTAATTTTTGCAAAATGTTAAGGAATTAGTAGTTTGTTAAAGATGGCAACTCGTTTTTTTGAAAAAAACAAAATATGAAAAATGATTTTCACAAACAATTTGATTTTAGGCAATACGCACAAACCAAGAAAACATTTTTTAGGAATGTTTTTTGGGAAACACAAAAAGACAACAAAAACTACTCCCATGTATAAGTCATCGACGACCATAAAATCTGAACATTCTACTGGAATCAAAAAATCGAAGAGACCGGCCAAAGGTAAGTAAAAATACTATTATACATTATGATAGATATTATTTAATACGATAATGAACACGTGTTTCTATAAATAACATTAAATCTATATTTATGATAAAAAACCTTATTATGGTCATTCATATTTTTAGGTGATTTATTATATATAATTATTATATTAAATCCATAATTGATTATGTTCTTGAGAAGACCCGTATTTCTTCTCACAATCCTTTATTTTTATTTAATACATTATTATGTACATATAAACTTTTCTTTTTTATATAATTTTTCGGCCTGTTTAGATATTTTCAAATGTATTAATCGCACATACAATGTGCTAATTTATTCGCCAGCCCTTTATTACTTATTTTATATTTAATTCTTTTTAGTTAAGTATAGATCGAATTTGATATTTTATCAATGATTTTAGGAAAACAAAACCGTAACTTTTTTGGATTCAAGTTCAAGAACTCAAGAAGCACCAGAAAAAGCTGTAAGTGAAAATTCCCTGCAACTGAAATGCTATTAAACAATATAATTTATCCGTATTTAACTATGTATCACATACCTTGTAGATCATTTTCAGCCTTATCCAGTTCCACTTCTGCTGGAACTTTTCCATTTCTGCCTATTTTTGGCTATTTCTTTTCAGTTGTATGCATTCAGCTCTATTCGTCCATGTTACAGGTTGCTCCGTTTATATAATATACGTAAATATATATATATATTTCTTTATTTTATTTACTATGTTTTCACATAGAACATATAAACTGTTTTTCTGCTTGTTTTCATATATATTTACTGTAATTCTTTGAAAAAATATTTAGTTACCTTTCTTAACAATTTTGATGGCAAGCAAGAACTACCGTAGTATAGCGCTACAGTCATGTCCATAGCGATAATAAAGAGGTTGGTGAGATTGACTGAGAGGAGTATATTTTGCAAAACATTTACGAGTATGTCGTTAGCCTGTACCACATTTTTATTGATTTATGAGACAATTATATAAGCACAGATATCAATGTCAGGTTAGAAGCTAGTAATAGATGCGTTTTCTTCTAAATAAGACGCTTAAAGATAATTAATAAAGATATTCCGCTCAGTAAACTATCTTGGTAATTGGTGGGTGAAAAAAATAGTAAGTTCCTTCAACTCTTTGGCAAGCCTAATATTGTGGCCATGAAAGAAGGCAGACCAAGGATGAGAGGGATTGGAATGAAAAGTTTGCAAAGGAAGGAGAGATAGGCTATCAGGTTGTAAGTGAGGCCAAGGCCTACATAGGCTTTAGTGCCATTTAGTTAAATTTTTTTTAGTGCAGTTGTATTAGGATGGCAAAGTTTTTGTAAAGTACAGTTTTTTTTCTGTTATATACAATATCAATGTTCCCCACATTCCGTAACCACAAAACTCAAGGAAATGTCTATACGTCGACATTTATTAATATTTTTACCTCATAAGATGATTTTTTTTTTCCCTACCTGGCATTGCTGGGTTTTAGCAGCAGAGGGTTCATATGCCCACTGCTACTCAATAAACAACACTTTATTGATCATATTTCTTATTTTACATGTTTTCAAGATAGCTAAATCTTGGAGACAATAAACTGGATTAACTGCGGTGCGCGGTTGTGCACCTTACTGATGAGGCCGCATCCTTTAACCTCTAGGTGCCTCCACTTTTCCCGCGCCTCCATTGGTGATAGGACTCTTGCCGTTTTCAGGGATAAGTGTGTAGGGCCTGTCACATCCGCTAGATAATACTCCGATTATTCTTTACTTTTTCGCCATTAACTATATTTATTTTGTACCTTTCTTTTGAAATATCTTCAATTAATTGTAACGATGATAAAGAAACCCAGCCATTAACTATTTCTTTTTCAATGATATTCGCCCTTTTTAAGATGTTATTTATACTTTCACAGGGTGCGAAATATTTCGAGTTGGTGTACAAAATGATGGTAAAAACAATACGCTAAATAATTCACCTCTCGTGAGACTTGAAGATAATGAGATACCACAACTAGAATTTCATCGTAAGTAGTCATTTCTGTTATAGTAAATTCACTATGGTTTATTCTCATCTTGTCTTGTATTATATTTTGGTTTATTTCTTAGAGAACTGATTCTAACATAATTATTGTTAACGTATATGAAATTTATATTATTGTGATATGTGCATTCAGAGTCCGGTTATAAGCAAAATCATTCTAATTCAATTGTACTTTTTTTAATGAACATATATAAAACTTGAAAAAAAATTGTTTAAAACCGGTAGAAAAGTCATGAGAGTGGACTCATCGAATTTTTTATTTAAATAATTTGTGGCATTGTATAGAATTTCTTTACTCTACAACTGTTCCATTCCAAGGCGGGGGCCTATCACTGTCTTTCTTGATAATGCCTTTAATGTTTTACCGAGTTAATTTTATTAACTTAGTTGGACTTGATGTCAATGAAACATCTAAATTTAGCTATTCTGTAGCGTTTTTCTAAGATCTACAGTAACATGTCGGGCAAGACCAAGACCAAAATAAAGACTACTTTTCAGGCTTAGATACATGTTGATATCAATTTTGATAAAAACTTATAATCTGCAAAGGTTATTTTTTTATGGGACGAGGCACACACAAAAACTTACAGAATAAAGGTTAATGTTGAAGAACAAAAAGACAATGTGTTCTTGAACCAAGTTAGAACAACAACTTTTATTTACCGTAAGAAGAGTAACACAAAAAGGTATGATTTGTCCAATAAAGATGTGAAAAATATAATAGATCACAACGTGACGTCGCAACACAATCCAACACACTTGTTTTCACTAAAAGCAAAAGACAACTTTTATTATTATATATTTAATTACAATACTAAGTTGGTCGAAGTTAATAATTGTGATTTATAATTTTATTTCAATTGGGGTTTTATAATGTTCTTAATAATTAGTTAAGCATCAGTTAAAAATATGACTACTCATAATCACGAGGAAATTGAAAATTCTTGACAAATATTTATTATTATAAATATTACTCTCTATTAATTGCTATTATTCCTTATTTAAAATATTAGCAATTATGAAGGGAATAGGTTTCATTGATTAACTTTGCGCTTCTATATTTCATTTTACGAATGATATGATTTCAGATAAAAAAGGTTTAGAAAACAATACTATTTGGTCATACCTGGGTCCTGAATTTGACAGCCGCAATTTATGCCACCGCTGTCACAAACCCAGGATCAGAGACCCAAAACGTTTACAAATTTATCGCTCTATGAATCGAGCGCACAACGACCAAGTTGAGCGTAAGTAACAATTACTCTATTACAATAGATATTAAATAACATCATACGTCTCAACGAACCCTAACCTCTCTCTCAAAACAATAAACCCTCTCCAGTGTTTCAACTGCCTCCCTCAGTGCTACATCCTACGCCCTGAAGATGACCTGCAAAGTAGGTCGAAACGTCGGCAAAATTAAAATAAAATAATTACTATAGTTTAATTTAGTATTTATCTGACCGCACCCCCGACTAACTCCTTCCCATATTATATCAACGGTTAACCGTCTCTACATCAATTAACCCTCTCACTGATGATTATGAAATTTATTACAAGGTGTAACAAACCTGGAAAAATTTAATTCCACCAAATTAGGAAATTTTATTCGTGAGCAAGAATTTTTCCCAGTAATTCATATTCATTTTACTAATGTGTATTAAAAAAATGATCATTTTATCAAATTCAATATTTCAAAGGACTGTAAATATTTTTATCCTATTTAATACTTACTAATACTTAAAAATCGCTTTAGAGCATTCTCAAAGTTTGTTTGATTCCCAATTCGATTTCATAAAAAAGAGCTTTAGTTTATGGATAAAAAGTTTCACAGGCACTGTAGCAACTCATGAAATTATCAAATATGAAGGGAAAGGTGTTCTTGACCAGAGCACAGCGCGGTGTTGGTTGAATACTTTAGCAATGGAGATACGACGTTAGAAAGGAACAAGGGTTCCGGGCTACCATAAATGAACATTGATGAGGTTCTGCAGGAAGCTGTTGAGTCAAATACACCCGATGGGAGTGTGGTGTGTCGAAAAATACTGTTAGTCGCCATCTAGTCTCCATGGGGAATGTGAAAAAGAGCAGTAGACTGGTCCCTCGAGAACTTCTCCCTCAGCAATAAGCAAAATGTTAGACATTTTGAAAACCCTAATGATATTAAATTTGACTGAAATATTGTCACCTGTGATAAACTTTGCTGCGAACCACTGGAAACACTGTACGCGAAGTTGTCAGAGCGTGATTCTACTTTGATCAACCGAAAAGGAATTTAATTCCAACAAGATAATGATCGTCCTCGCACTTTCCGTCGAAACAAAGAAAACTTTAAAGAACTTCTTCGGTCCCAACACCTGCCTCATAAACCATATAGTCCAAGTCTCGCACCATCGGATTACCACTTATTTAGATCCATGGCCCATTCTCTTCAAGGAAAAGAATTGATAATTTTACGGAAGTAGAAATTGCTGTCCAAGATATCTTTGACATCCATCACAAAGAATATTATCAGCGTGGGATCGAGCAATTGGCTAGCAGATGAGTAATTACTGTTGATAATAATGGCTTATACTATGATTATTAATCGTATTTTATATTAAAGAAATAACAATAAAAATATTTGGTAGAAAAACGGTCATTTCTTTTTTAATCTCCCTATTATTTTTTGTTTTAACAAAGGCTATTTACCAGTGATATTTTTATACCGAAAAGAGTTTAGTCGTTAAATAAAAGATTGGAGATGGGTCGTTCCTCCGTATACCCTCAGACATACACAGCTAATTTTGGCATTCAGCGTACAATGTGAGCAATATGATCTTTATACCCCTTACTGCTGAAAATTTTACAATGCTTTTTATATCACATTATGTTTAAATCTAATATTTTCACATTGGGTTATCTCAGTAAATTGTTGTATTACATTATATATACCTACACTTTTAGAAATATTTGATTAATCTGGTTTGTAAAGTTCTGTTTGTTGGAAACTTAACCAAACCAACCCCGTCAAACGATTGACCCACTACGTAATCTTAACCAAATTTATATTTTTTCTTCAAGTATGTATCTATTTTTTTTTAAATTTGATTATTTAAATAGTGACAGCTTTATAGCTAAATATTTATATTGTATCTATTAATCTATGTAAATTTCTGCAGTATGGTTTGGTCTATATTTGTTGTTGGAAATTCATCCTAAGCTACCTGTCACAAGACAGACCTTCCATATGATTTTGGCCCACATTGACGTCTTCTCAAAAAGTTAAAACAGTAAAGAACTTATAAATAGTACAACAACATGTGTAAATGATCAATCAGTGTGTAAAGGCGAGTTTATAGCATTCTGTTGCACACTGGTTATAATAATATCAATATAGACTGTTAGTTCTAATATGAAATACCTATTTTCAGTTTAATTCTAAAATTTGCAATAATTTCAAAAATGTTGTACTTCAAATACTCAAAAAGGTTACATGAACTTATTCTTATTTACATATGAAATTTATTTTAATTCCTAGCCATTAAAACTGAGTTCAACTCTTTGGATATTTTTAATTCAATAACACATTACAAACATGTGCTTGATTACGTTCCTGGTTAAATACAATAAAGATTATAATTGTCGATAAAAATATTACTTATCAATCATTAAATTACAATCCAAGTCTCTAGTTTGTTTCACTACGTATTATTTATATTTTCACAGAGCCGTTTTTGTTTTTCGAGAAAAATAGAGAAAAAAATTCCTCAGAAATTAAAAGCAACGTTAGCAATAAAAACAGAGTCATGACCAGTCAAAACGGAGATGAGTGTGACGTAGAAGATTTTCCCGATAATCTATTCAACTGTAAGTAGTTAAATAAGCAACAGTTTTTCATTTTACATTGATCATAAAGTAAATAACATGAAAATATAATGTAATATAAAACAATATCGTGGTTAATTAGATTATTAATTCAGATTAAAATAAGATTTAGTCAAACAAATATTCAGAATATTGCTTAAGGTACAGTATTGAACGGTTACAATTTGTGCTAAAAGTGATTAGCTTATTTGATGAAGCTCAAGTGACCATTCCCAAAATAATATTTAAAATCAAAAAAAAAAAAAAAAAAAAAAAAAAAAAAAAAAAAAAAATTATATATACCGTTTTTATAATACAATTGTTTAATTCAATTAAAATAACTTACAAAAATGTATTTACGGCTGTAAGACAAACTTATTTTGCTTACAATTTCTATCAGAACCTGTTTTAGATAACTGGTTTGGAATTATGAAATTTTATTTTTTTTATTTATTGAGTATTACAACCATTTGTCACATGGATATTACTTATAGTGAGGTAGGATAACATTCACACTATATATACAAAAAATATAAAATAAATAGAAGAAAAATAATAATCAAATTGTTTATACAATAAATGAAATAAACTAACCTAAAAATAAGAAAATTAAAACTAAGCAAACACAAGCAATACCTATATACAATCAGGCGAGAAAACTCCAGGAGAACGCTGCGCTACTCTCTCAACCGCATCACTGGTACTAAAGCCAGCGGAGATTGATCGAGAGCACTTTAGCCACATACACTCATGTCTTGAGTGGAGAATCTGGCCATTGCCAGAACTCCAATATATACAATCTACAAAAGGTCGCTAGGCCACTGGTGTTTCAACCTTCTTGGAGGATTATAGTTAACGATATGGCCAGCTATATAGACTACTAAGCAGGACATCCTATCTTTCGGTTGAAAATAAACTTTTAATCTACAAGACAATACTGAAACCTATCTGGACCTACGGACTTGAACTGTGGGGAACTGCTAAACATTCGAATATCAAACGCATCCAATCCTTCCAGTCCAAAGTACTTAGAACAATAGTCAATGTCCCATATTACGTCACAAATAAGACCCTATACCATGACCTTAACATCCCATTTGTCCTCGACATCATCCCATCCAGATTCACAAACTTTCACTAGAACCTTATCCATCATCCAAATCCTCTAGCTCAATCCTTATCCAGCTCACACCATTCCTACTATCCTCCTCGAAGGTTAAAACGGCAGTGGCCGCGAGAACTATTGTAAATATGCTTCCGGAGTCCTGGCAATGGCCAGCTTCTCCACTCAAGTTCTGAGCATCTGTGGCTCTAGTGACCTCCTTCAGCCTCCACTGGCTTTTAATACTAGTGATGCGGCTGGAAATGTGGCACTGGGATCTCTGGAGTCCTGCTTTGCCTTCCACATGTGGGAAGAAAAGCCTGGCTCGGAGATTCCTGGGCGAATGTATATATTGTATATAGGTATGAATGTATTTAGAAGTTTTTATTTTATTTTGTTTGTTTATTTATTTTTCCTATTGATTTACATTTTTTTATAAGTATTATTTATTTACTCTTTATATTTATGGTTACTTATTTATTACTTGTATATACTGTATGGATGAGAACTTCTAGCCTTAATACTTATAGCCCTCCAACAGTAGCTGATTGTATTATTATTCAATATAATATAATTAAAAAAAAATGGACGCAAACAGTATTCTAGGAATGAGGATATATGGCCGGCAACTCGGAGTCCCTGTTAGATAGTGGAATGTTGGGAACAAAATCCAAATTGACGGGTAGGAATTTTATGGGATTCAATTATGGGTAGGATTCTTTTCAGTAGGATCTTTTCAAAAATTTTTGATAGGATTGGGAGTAGGCTAATCGGTCTATAGGATGATGTATTGTTGGCAGGCTTGCCTGGTTTCAGAAAAAAGACGATGGTGGAATGTTTCCATAGGAAAGGAAAATGGGTAGTTCTTAAGATGCAATTATAAATAAATGTAAGGAATATGATAGCTTTGGGTGAAAGTTGTCATGAACAGAGAGAGAAGTAAGGTAAGTATCAAGGGATTGGGATCTGAAGGATGATAATCTATGCTTTACTATTTTAGAATAATAATTGTTGGAGCGGCGATAGATAGGGTGTTTGTTACGTTGTCATAATGATCTGGCATGGAGTTTGGTGTAGATTAGGTCTATGAGGTGTTGGGGTAAAATATTTTTCTTAGGGGCTCTTAAGGAATTATTTGGAGAGGAAGCTGTCCATACTGCTTGCTGAATGGTGTTGGTAAAGGAATGTACAGCATTTTCAAGGTCTTCTTGGGTTCTCAAGGGTAATCTGAGGTTAATTTTATCGGAAATGATTTGATGAAAGGGTTTCCACTTAACTGAGAAGCTGATGAAGGACGGTGGAGAGGGTTTAGGAATAGGAGCTGGAGATAATTGGAGTACTAATGGACTATGATCTGAGGAAAGTTCGTGAATTCGGGTAAGGGAATGATTGAGGGGACCTAAACCACTTTGAATAAAAAAATCGAGAAAATCAGGATTGCAGTTGGCCAGTAGATAGGTGAGTTAGGTGGAAGAAGTTTGAAACTTTGGAAATTAAGTGTAGACAACAAGCAGAGTATATATATATATATATATATATATATATATATAAAATTCGCCGCTCCAACAATTATTATTCTATATATATATATATATGTATGTTTGTATATATATTTGCTTTATTGTTTGAAATAAATTCAATTATGAAAAATCCGGTGCGCGCATCACATCGCATTTATGAAAACAGCATATGTATATGTTCATAATATTGCCTGAGTCCGTATCATAAAAAGGTAGTTCATGTTACTTATAGAACCCCTGTTTTAATCTTTCGGGTGAGCTTTAGAGCGCTCCTGTTGCTTTGGTTCTTCCAATACAACTATTATCCGTTACGATTTCTTATTTTTCCTCCAGTTAATTATCAAATTCTTTAATATTTTATATTTAAATATCTTTTTTATAAAAGATTAATGTAAAATGATTAATTATTTCAAATAAAAAAATTAAAAATACTTAATAAAGAGGAACCCAAAATTGAAAATAAGCCATTCAGACTCTGTTAGGGAACATCAATGACAATAAAACCTACATTATATTACAAAATACTTAATAATGAACTAATAAACTGAGTTTATACAAAATCCTTAGAGCCGTTTTTGAAAAATCGTAAAAATTTGTTAAGTCGAGGATATTAAGTACCACTTCTGGTTTGCCGATTTTTACGTAAATGTCTCTGTAACATCCCAAACTTAAAAAAAACCTCAAGTACGCAAATTCAGCTTCGTACGACTTTTCGTTTTTGAGCTAGACGATTCACATACTTACCCACAGACCATTTTGTGAGACTAAAAATATATTTAACGTTGAAAGTAAATCCTAAAATCCCACCATGTTTCCCATCCCCTTAGACGAAGTGATGGCTCTTGGGCGGCTTCAGATGAAGACAAAGCTGAGGAATTCGCCAAACACCTCTCCTGCAAATTCACTCCTCATCCGGAATCCCATCCTACCCACACTGCAATAGTAGAAGAATTCCTCACTTCACCCATCCCACTCTCCTTACCAGAAAAAGTAGTCAATCCTTCTGAGTTCAAACATCATTTACAAAACTTATCTCCCCGTAAATCTCCTGGATAAGACCTTCTAGTCCCGCAGATCCTTCAGCAACTTCCATTGAAAGCAGTCATATCCCTCACTTATATATACAATTTTATCCTATGAACTACCCACTTTCCTCTCTTATGGAAACATTCTGTCATCATCTTTTTTCTGAAACCAAGTAAACCTTCTAATAACACAACTTCCTATAGACAAATAAGCCTACTTCCCATCCTTTCAAAAATCTTTGAAAAGATTCTACTGAAACGTATCCTACCCATTATAAAATTCTAAAAACTTCCTACCCACCAATTCGGATTTTGTTCCCAACATTCCACTTTCCAACAAGGCCTCCGAGTTGTTTACCATATATCCTCAGCCCTAGAAAGCATACAATATTGCTCGGGTGCATTCCTGGACAATGCACAATGCGCGGGTATAGCACCGGATTCAATCCTTCCAATCTTAAAGTTCTTCGAAAATTAGTCGATGCTCCTTTCTATGTAACCAATAAAACCCTACACAATGACCTTAATATCCCATTTGTACTTGACCTAATCCCAGACAAATTTTCCAAATTTCACCAGAATCTCACTCATCCTAATCCTGTAGCACATTCTCTATCTACCTCCAGTCATCCCTACAATTTTCTTCGGAGGTTAAAACGGCAGTGGCCCCGCGACCTTTTGTAAAAATGTATATATTGGAATACTGGCACTGGCCAGATTCTTCACTCATCTCCTGAGCGTCTGTTGCTCTAGTGCCCCCCATCAGCCTCCCCTGGCTTACTATATTAAAATATTGTACATAGGTGTGAATGTGTTTTATTTATTTCGTTATTATTCGGCTAATCTGTTATTTTACTTACCTTGTATAATACTTTATCTTTTTATTTATATAATTTTTTCCATTCTTATGTACATATTGTGTCAATAAATACTATAGCTCTTGTACCAGTGCCCTTCAGTGTGGCAGACTGTATTAATACTCAATAAAACAAAAAAACAAAACAAAAAACGATGGAAGTAAAAATATACCTAAACATGAATATGAAAAATATTAGTTATTCCTATAAATATTAGTTATTATAGGAATTAGTTGTTACTTAAAGATGTCAAATTACGCCTCAGAGAAAAAGAAATAAGCAAAATTATTTCCGCAAACATTAGATAATAAAATTATTTGATTTTAGGTGCTAAACATGAGCACCGACCTACGAAACCCACGGTGGCTATGTCACTCTCTTCTTCCACTAATAATAGAAAATCGTCAAAACTAACCACAGGTCAGTAACAATACCATTACACATTATGGTAGATATTAATTAGTTGGATATAAAAAAAAAAAAGTGTTTTCCTAAATAACATTAAACCTATCTAGTTAGCGGTATTGTAAGTCCAATTCCAGAAAAAATAACCAATTACATCCTTATTTCTTAGGAAAAATGTCAACCCCAACATTTTTCGAACTCGCTCATAAAAGTACTAACTTAAGGAAAATTTTTTTTTTCGTTTGTTTGAAATGCCTATGAATGGCGACACCTTCAGCCTGTGTGTTTCAATTTGTCGCTGGTGAATATTATATAATTAAATAGACAATAATTAAAAGTCAATTGATTTTAATTTAGTAAAACTATGAATGTTTTTTTTCTTTTTTTTTATACGATAATAAATTAATGAAATAATAGTAATAATCAATGTTGGAATCGATCGATCGATCCAACATATCACTGGTGGGTGTGAAGTGTTAGCTGGCACCCAGTATCTCCAGAGGCATAACAATGTGGCTAAACTTTTTCACCAGGCTCTGCCAGTGAAGCTCAACTTATTAGATGACAAAACTCCATATAATAAGTACCACCCAAATAAACCCCTCCAAAAAGGAATCCTTCTTCCCCCCCCCCCACAGACTCCACCCAAACATTTTTCGTAAACAAACTAATCGAAGTATAATTACACTAATACTTAGGGAAAATTTTGGTTTTAGTTTGGCTTAAAGCACTATGCATTATGCCCTTTACTGTATTTGTGCTTCAGTTTGTCGCTGATGTCCGTCTTAAGATTTATTTAAGAAAAAAATGTAAAGAAATTTATAACTGTGTCAGATAAAAATTACATCTAGGAAATGTGAATTGGTAATATGAAATATACAAAATGAAGAGAAGTTTTCCATCGGTAGCACACCAATTTTATAATTAATTATAAATCAATTGATTTCGAATAAAACTATAAATATCTTATAGGTTCTTTTTATTGGATAGTAAAATAACAGTAAAAAAATGTGACTTTTCTTGTTTTATTTTGTATCTTTGGATAATAAAATATTCCGCATGAATAGCAAAAATTCCGTTAATGTTCTTTTTCCAAGTTTGAAATAAATTTAATAATTAAAAATATATTTAAACCTAAATATGAACAATAATAAATATTAATTTTTGCAAAATGTTAAGGAATTAGTAGTTTGTTAAAGATGGCAACTCGTTTTTTTGAAAAAAACAAAATATGAAAAATGATTTTCACAAACAATTTGATTTTAGGCAATACGCACAAACCAAGAAAACATTTTTTAGGAATGTTTTTTGGGAAACACAAAAAGACAACAAAAACTACTCCCATGTATAAGTCATCGACGACCATAAAATCTGAACATTCTACTGGAATCAAAAAATCGAAGAGACCGGCCAAAGGTAAGTAAAAATACTATTATACATTATGATAGATATTATTTAATACGATAATGAACACGTGTTTCTATAAATAACATTAAATCTATATTTATGATAAAAAACCTTATTATGGTCATTCATATTTTTAGGTGATTTATTATATATAATTATTATATTAAATCCATAATTGATTATGTTCTTGAGAAGACCCGTATTTCTTCTCACAATCCTTTATTTTTATTTAATACATTATTATGTACATATAAACTTTTCTTTTTTATATAATTTTTCGGCCTGTTTAGATATTTTCAAATGTATTAATCGCACATACAATGTGCTAATTTATTCGCCAGCCCTTTATTACTTATTTTATATTTAATTCTTTTTAGTTAAGTATAGATCGAATTTGATATTTTATCAATGATTTTAGGAAAACAAAACCGTAACTTTTTTGGATTCAAGTTCAAGAACTCAAGAAGCACCAGAAAAAGCTGTAAGTGAAAATTCCCTGCAACTGAAATGCTATTAAACAATATAATTTATCCGTATTTAACTATGTATCACATACCTTGTAGATCATTTTCAGCCTTATCCAGTTCCACTTCTGCTGGAACTTTTCCATTTCTGCCTATTTTTGGCTATTTCTTTTCAGTTGTATGCATTCAGCTCTATTCGTCCATGTTACAGGTTGCTCCGTTTATATAATATACGTAAATATATATATATATTTCTTTATTTTATTTACTATGTTTTCACATAGAACATATAAACTGTTTTTCTGCTTGTTTTCATATATATTTACTGTAATTCTTTGAAAAAATATTTAGTTACCTTTCTTAACAATTTTGATGGCAAGCAAGAACTACCGTAGTATAGCGCTACAGTCATGTCCATAGCGATAATAAAGAGGTTGGTGAGATTGACTGAGAGGAGTATATTTTGCAAAACATTTACGAGTATGTCGTTAGCCTGTACCACATTTTTATTGATTTATGAGACAATTATATAAGCACAGATATCAATGTCAGGTTAGAAGCTAGTAATAGATGCGTTTTCTTCTAAATAAGACGCTTAAAGATAATTAATAAAGATATTCCGCTCAGTAAACTATCTTGGTAATTGGTGGGTGAAAAAAATAGTAAGTTCCTTCAACTCTTTGGCAAGCCTAATATTGTGGCCATGAAAGAAGGCAGACCAAGGATGAGAGGGATTGGAATGAAAAGTTTGCAAAGGAAGGAGAGATAGGCTATCAGGTTGTAAGTGAGGCCAAGGCCTACATAGGCTTTAGTGCCATTTAGTTAAATTTTTTTTAGTGCAGTTGTATTAGGATGGCAAAGTTTTTGTAAAGTACAGTTTTTTTTCTGTTATATACAATATCAATGTTCCCCACATTCCGTAACCACAAAACTCAAGGAAATGTCTATACGTCGACATTTATTAATATTTTTACCTCATAAGATGATTTTTTTTTTCCCTACCTGGCATTGCTGGGTTTTAGCAGCAGAGGGTTCATATGCCCACTGCTACTCAATAAACAACACTTTATTGATCATATTTCTTATTTTACATGTTTTCAAGATAGCTAAATCTTGGAGACAATAAACTGGATTAACTGCGGTGCGCGGTTGTGCACCTTACTGATGAGGCCGCATCCTTTAACCTCTAGGTGCCTCCACTTTTCCCGCGCCTCCATTGGTGATAGGACTCTTGCCGTTTTCAGGGATAAGTGTGTAGGGCCTGTCACATCCGCTAGATAATACTCCGATTATTCTTTACTTTTTCGCCATTAACTATATTTATTTTGTACCTTTCTTTTGAAATATCTTCAATTAATTGTAACGATGATAAAGAAACCCAGCCATTAACTATTTCTTTTTCAATGATATTCGCCCTTTTTAAGATGTTATTTATACTTTCACAGGGTGCGAAATATTTCGAGTTGGTGTACAAAATGATGGTAAAAACAATACGCTAAATAATTCACCTCTCGTGAGACTTGAAGATAATGAGATACCACAACTAGAATTTCATCGTAAGTAGTCATTTCTGTTATAGTAAATTCACTATGGTTTATTCTCATCTTGTCTTGTATTATATTTTGGTTTATTTCTTAGAGAACTGATTCTAACATAATTATTGTTAACGTATATGAAATTTATATTATTGTGATATGTGCATTCAGAGTCCGGTTATAAGCAAAATCATTCTAATTCAATTGTACTTTTTTTAATGAACATATATAAAACTTGAAAAAAAATTGTTTAAAACCGGTAGAAAAGTCATGAGAGTGGACTCATCGAATTTTTTATTTAAATAATTTGTGGCATTGTATAGAATTTCTTTACTCTACAACTGTTCCATTCCAAGGCGGGGGCCTATCACTGTCTTTCTTGATAATGCCTTTAATGTTTTACCGAGTTAATTTTATTAACTTAGTTGGACTTGATGTCAATGAAACATCTAAATTTAGCTATTCTGTAGCGTTTTTCTAAGATCTACAGTAACATGTCGGGCAAGACCAAGACCAAAATAAAGACTACTTTTCAGGCTTAGATACATGTTGATATCAATTTTGATAAAAACTTATAATCTGCAAAGGTTATTTTTTTATGGGACGAGGCACACACAAAAACTTACAGAATAAAGGTTAATGTTGAAGAACAAAAAGACAATGTGTTCTTGAACCAAGTTAGAACAACAACTTTTATTTACCGTAAGAAGAGTAACACAAAAAGGTATGATTTGTCCAATAAAGATGTGAAAAATATAATAGATCACAACGTGACGTCGCAACACAATCCAACACACTTGTTTTCACTAAAAGCAAAAGACAACTTTTATTATTATATATTTAATTACAATACTAAGTTGGTCGAAGTTAATAATTGTGATTTATAATTTTATTTCAATTGGGGTTTTATAATGTTCTTAATAATTAGTTAAGCATCAGTTAAAAATATGACTACTCATAATCACGAGGAAATTGAAAATTCTTGACAAATATTTATTATTATAAATATTACTCTCTATTAATTGCTATTATTCCTTATTTAAAATATTAGCAATTATGAAGGGAATAGGTTTCATTGATTAACTTTGCGCTTCTATATTTCATTTTACGAATGATATGATTTCAGATAAAAAAGGTTTAGAAAACAATACTATTTGGTCATACCTGGGTCCTGAATTTGACAGCCGCAATTTATGCCACCGCTGTCACAAACCCAGGATCAGAGACCCAAAACGTTTACAAATTTATCGCTCTATGAATCGAGCGCACAACGACCAAGTTGAGCGTAAGTAACAATTACTCTATTACAATAGATATTAAATAACATCATACGTCTCAACGAACCCTAACCTCTCTCTCAAAACAATAAACCCTCTCCAGTGTTTCAACTGCCTCCCTCAGTGCTACATCCTACGCCCTGAAGATGACCTGCAAAGTAGGTCGAAACGTCGGCAAAATTAAAATAAAATAATTACTATAGTTTAATTTAGTATTTATCTGACCGCACCCCCGACTAACTCCTTCCCATATTATATCAACGGTTAACCGTCTCTACATCAATTAACCCTCTCACTGATGATTATGAAATTTATTACAAGGTGTAACAAACCTGGAAAAATTTAATTCCACCAAATTAGGAAATTTTATTCGTGAGCAAGAATTTTTCCCAGTAATTCATATTCATTTTACTAATGTGTATTAAAAAAATGATCATTTTATCAAATTCAATATTTCAAAGGACTGTAAATATTTTTATCCTATTTAATACTTACTAATACTTAAAAATCGCTTTAGAGCATTCTCAAAGTTTGTTTGATTCCCAATTCGATTTCATAAAAAAGAGCTTTAGTTTATGGATAAAAAGTTTCACAGGCACTGTAGCAACTCATGAAATTATCAAATATGAAGGGAAAGGTGTTCTTGACCAGAGCACAGCGCGGTGTTGGTTGAATACTTTAGCAATGGAGATACGACGTTAGAAAGGAACAAGGGTTCCGGGCTACCATAAATGAACATTGATGAGGTTCTGCAGGAAGCTGTTGAGTCAAATACACCCGATGGGAGTGTGGTGTGTCGAAAAATACTGTTAGTCGCCATCTAGTCTCCATGGGGAATGTGAAAAAGAGCAGTAGACTGGTCCCTCGAGAACTTCTCCCTCAGCAATAAGCAAAATGTTAGACATTTTGAAAACCCTAATGATATTAAATTTGACTGAAATATTGTCACCTGTGATAAACTTTGCTGCGAACCACTGGAAACACTGTACGCGAAGTTGTCAGAGCGTGATTCTACTTTGATCAACCGAAAAGGAATTTAATTCCAACAAGATAATGATCGTCCTCGCACTTTCCGTCGAAACAAAGAAAACTTTAAAGAACTTCTTCGGTCCCAACACCTGCCTCATAAACCATATAGTCCAAGTCTCGCACCATCGGATTACCACTTATTTAGATCCATGGCCCATTCTCTTCAAGGAAAAGAATTGATAATTTTACGGAAGTAGAAATTGCTGTCCAAGATATCTTTGACATCCATCACAAAGAATATTATCAGCGTGGGATCGAGCAATTGGCTAGCAGATGAGTAATTACTGTTGATAATAATGGCTTATACTATGATTATTAATCGTATTTTATATTAAAGAAATAACAATAAAAATATTTGGTAGAAAAACGGTCATTTCTTTTTTAATCTCCCTATTATTTTTTGTTTTAACAAAGGCTATTTACCAGTGATATTTTTATACCGAAAAGAGTTTAGTCGTTAAATAAAAGATTGGAGATGGGTCGTTCCTCCGTATACCCTCAGACATACACAGCTAATTTTGGCATTCAGCGTACAATGTGAGCAATATGATCTTTATACCCCTTACTGCTGAAAATTTTACAATGCTTTTTATATCACATTATGTTTAAATCTAATATTTTCACATTGGGTTATCTCAGTAAATTGTTGTATTACATTATATATACCTACACTTTTAGAAATATTTGATTAATCTGGTTTGTAAAGTTCTGTTTGTTGGAAACTTAACCAAACCAACCCCGTCAAACGATTGACCCACTACGTAATCTTAACCAAATTTATATTTTTTCTTCAAGTATGTATCTATTTTTTTTTAAATTTGATTATTTAAATAGTGACAGCTTTATAGCTAAATATTTATATTGTATCTATTAATCTATGTAAATTTCTGCAGTATGGTTTGGTCTATATTTGTTGTTGGAAATTCATCCTAAGCTACCTGTCACAAGACAGACCTTCCATATGATTTTGGCCCACATTGACGTCTTCTCAAAAAGTTAAAACAGTAAAGAACTTATAAATAGTACAACAACATGTGTAAATGATCAATCAGTGTGTAAAGGCGAGTTTATAGCATTCTGTTGCACACTGGTTATAATAATATCAATATAGACTGTTAGTTCTAATATGAAATACCTATTTTCAGTTTAATTCTAAAATTTGCAATAATTTCAAAAATGTTGTACTTCAAATACTCAAAAAGGTTACATGAACTTATTCTTATTTACATATGAAATTTATTTTAATTCCTAGCCATTAAAACTGAGTTCAACTCTTTGGATATTTTTAATTCAATAACACATTACAAACATGTGCTTGATTACGTTCCTGGTTAAATACAATAAAGATTATAATTGTCGATAAAAATATTACTTATCAATCATTAAATTACAATCCAAGTCTCTAGTTTGTTTCACTACGTATTATTTATATTTTCACAGAGCCGTTTTTGTTTTTCGAGAAAAATAGAGAAAAAAATTCCTCAGAAATTAAAAGCAACGTTAGCAATAAAAACAGAGTCATGACCAGTCAAAACGGAGATGAGTGTGACGTAGAAGATTTTCCCGATAATCTATTCAACTGTAAGTAGTTAAATAAGCAACAGTTTTTCATTTTACATTGATCATAAAGTAAATAACATGAAAATATAATGTAATATAAAACAATATCGTGGTTAATTAGATTATTAATTCAGATTAAAATAAGATTTAGTCAAACAAATATTCAGAATATTGCTTAAGGTACAGTATTGAACGGTTACAATTTGTGCTAAAAGTGATTAGCTTATTTGATGAAGCTCAAGTGACCATTCCCAAAATAATATTTAAAATCAAAAAAAAAAAAAAAAAAAAAAAAAAAAAAAAAAAAAAAAAAAATTATATATACCGTTTTTATAATACAATTGTTTAATTCAATTAAAATAACTTACAAAAATGTATTTACGGCTGTAAGACAAACTTATTTTGCTTACAATTTCTATCAGAACCTTTTTTAGATAACTGGTTTGGAATTATGAAATTTTATTTTTTTTATTTATCGAGTATTACAACCATTTGTCACATGGACATTAGTTATAGTGAGGTAGGATAACATTCACACTATATGTACAAAAAATATAAAATAAATAGAAGAAAAATAATAATCAAAATGTATATACAATAAATGAAATAAAATAACCTAAAAATAAGAAAATTAAAACTAAGCAAAAACACAAGCAATACCTATATACAATCAGGCGAGAAAACTCCAGGAGAACGCTGCGCTACTCTCTCAACCGCATCACTGGTACTAAAGCCAGCGGAGATTGATCGAGAGCACTTTAGCCACATACACTCATGTCTTGAGTGGAGAATCTGGCCATTGCCAGAACTCCAATATATACAATCTACAAAAGGTCGCGAGGCCACTGGCGTTTCAACCTTTTTTGAGGATTATAGTTAAGGATGGTGCTTGATAATGATTGTGCAAGAGGATTTAGATGATACGTAAGGTTCTGGTGAAATTTGGGGAATTTTTCTGGGATAAGGTAAAGAACAAATGAGATGTTGAGGTCATGATGTAGGGTTTTGTTGGTTACATAGAAAGGAGCATCGACTATTGTTCGAAGGAATGTAGACTGGAAAGATTGGATACGTTTGATGATAGAAAATTTTGCTGTTCTCCACAGTTATAATCCGTAAGTCCAAATAGGTTCCAGTATTGTCTTGGAAATCAGTAACTTGTTTTTGATAGAAAGTTTAGATTTTTTGTTTATTAGTCTGAATAGTTGGCTGAATCGTCATTTAAGTTATTGTCTTTTAAGTTTAGAATGAGGGTTTCACGTTAGCGTCTGTCTAAGAGAAAGCCAAGGTACCGTATCATATCTGAGAAAGAAAGCTAGATGGTGTTAAAATAAACTGGTGGAAAAGATTTACGACAAATGGTGAAGGTTATGTTTTTACATTTGGATTCGTTTATCTTAATGCGCCATTTCTTACACCAGAGTTCAATCAGGGAGAGGTGCATTTGTAAGTTCAATGATGCTGTCTTAGGATCTGAGTTGGTTGAAAAGATAGCGGTATAATCAGCGAATGTTGCCAGTAGTTTATCAGGATGGGCAGGAATATCTGCGGTGAAAAGAATTTGTAAGATTGGACCTAAGAGGCTGCCCTGCGGAAGTCCCTCAATTAAATGACAGTCGGAGAATTCAGTAGCACAGCGAATTAGAAAGGAGCGGCCAGAGAGGTAGGATCGGAGGATTAGATATAAGGACTGTGGTAGTGCCAAACCCGGTCGAAAGCCAGTCCTATGTCCATAAACGGACGCGCAAACACCAACAATGAGGAGCCAGATCCACAAATTCACGAGGACGAACACTACTATCTGCACTTAATTCCCATCGCAGCAACATCCTTTCAAATAATACTCCCAAATAATGGCCAACAGATCGCAACCGCAATCCCGACCTTCTAGACTTTTTCCTACACAAAGGTCTAGGATCATTACACTGTTCCATTTCAAGGCTTGATGATCTTTCCTCAGACCACAGTCCTATAGTCCTAACCGTTTCCACATCACCCATTCCTAAATCATCCCCTCCTTCATTCATCAGGGGACCAGTTAACTGGAACCTTTTCCGTCAAATATTGGATGATAATATAGACCTCAGAGTTTCCTTAAAAACACCTGAAGACCTTGACGATGCAGTGGACTCCTTCACTACCCTGATCCAGCAAGCAGTTTGGACTGCATCCTCACCTGATCGTCCAAGAAAACACCTCAGTATAAATCCTCTACTCCAAGACCTATTGGACCTTATCCATAGCAAACGATGCTCTAGGGCCCTCTGGCAAAGAACCAGGCACCCTGATGACCGGAAATAGTATAATTATTATTCCAAACAGGTAAAAAAGAAACTGGATACCTTTAAAACCCACTCCTACAATTCCTACCTTTCCTCATTATCATCTATTGATAACTTCCTCTGGGCTGTAACTAAAAAAATCCTT